AAGAGGGCTTCCGCGAAGGGCCCGAGAGAGGCCCTCCTGGACCCTTGCAGGGAGCAACGCTCCGGTCCCAGCTGCACCCGGGGCCGCGCGTGCCGCGGGGGGCCTCGACGGAGGGCGGGGGGCTCCCAGAGCCTTCCGACGGGCTCAAAGGCGGCCCCAAGACAGGCCCAAGACGTTCGGAGCCTGCCCAGGGCGTTCGGAGGGGCCCAAAGGCGCCCCAAGACAGGCCCAAGAGGGCACCAGGGCAGCTTATAATTATAGCAGGAGTGCAGTATCCCCAAACAGGGTTTTTAGACCCACTGCGGTTTCCAAGGTCGATTGCGTGCCCGCCTAGTGCGGGCTGGCATGGCATGTTAAAACATGCCTCCTCCTCCTCCTCCTCCTCCTCCTCCTCCTCGTCCACCTCCTCTTCATCCCGAAAGGCATCTCGGAACCCAGAGTTGCGAGGATGTCTCCAGCGTAACGGGCTGGACCACCTCGCGCGCGGCATTTCGGACCCCAGAGTTGCGACGATGTCTCGGGCGAAACGTGCTGCGAGGAAGTCTCAGGCGAAACGGGCCGGACCACCTCGAGCGCGGCGTCTCAGAGCTCCGAGTTGCGGGGGCCTCCTGGTGCCTCCTGGGGCCTCCTGGGGACCTCCTGGGGCTTCCTCCCGGGCCTCCTGTGGCCTCCTGAACTCCACCTGAGGTTTCCTGAAGCATCTTGGGGCTCCCAGGGGGGATATCTAACCTGTGGCCGTTTGGGCCTCTCCAAATACAGGGGGGGGCCACAGGAGCAGGAAAAATCAACGAATCGACACCGGATGTGTATTAACTTGACACGTTCTGATAGAGGGCCTCCTGGGGCCTCCTGGGAGCCTCCTGGGAATCTCCTGCGGACCCCTGGGGCCTGTCCTGGGCGTCCTGCGGCCTCCTGAAGCTCTCTGGGACCTCCCCCTCCTCCTGCCTGCTCCCTCATGCACATCATCCGCCTCCTCCTTCTCCCTTCCATCTCCTCCTCCTCCTCCTCCTCCTCCTCCTCCTCCTCCTCCTCCTCCTCCTCCAACCTCCTCTTCATCGCGAACGGCATTTCGGAGCCTAGAGTTGCGAGGATGTCTCCAGCGTAACGGGCTGGACCACCTCGCGCGCGGCATCTCGGACCCCAGAGTTGCGACGATGTCTCGGGCGAAACGTGCTGCGAGGAAGTCTCAGGCGAAACGGGCTGGACCACCTCGAGCGCGGCGTCTCAGAGCTCCGAGTTGCGGGGGCCTCCTGGTGCCTCCTGGGGCCTCCTGGGGACCTCCTGGAGCTTCCTCCTGGGCCTCCTGTGGCCTCGTGAACTCCACCTGGGGTTTCCTGAAGCCTCTTGGGGCTCCCAGGGGGGATATCTAACCTGTGGCCGTTTGGGCCTCTCCAAATGGAGGGGGGGGGGGCACAAGAGCAGGAAAAATCAACGAATCGACACCGGATGTGTATTAACTTGACACGTTCTGATAGGCGGCCTCCTGGGGCCTCCTGGGAGCCTCCTGGGAATCTCCTGGAGACCCCTGGGGCCTGTCCTGGGCGTCCTGCGGCCTCCTGGTGCCTCCTGGGCCTCCTGGGGACCTCCTGGAGCTTCCTCCTGGGCCTCCTGTGGCCTCCTGAACTCCACCTGAGGTTTCCTGAAGCATCTTGGGGCTCCCAGGGGGGATATCTAACCTGTGGCCGCTTGGGCCTCTCCAAATGGAGGGGGGGCACAAGAGCAGGAAAAATCAACGAATCGACACCGGATGTGTATTAACTTGACACGTTCTGATAGAGGGCCTCCTGGGGCCTCCTGGGAGCCTCCTGGGAATCTCCTGGGGGCCCCTGGGGCCTGTCCTGGGCGTCCTGCGGCCTCCTGGACCTCTCTGGGGCCTCCTGAGGCTCGCAGGGTCCCATGGAGGATATGTAACATGTGGCCTTCTGGGCCCCCAGGCTGGACCACCTCTTGCGCAGCATCTGAGAGCTCAGAGTTGCGAGAATATCTTGTGCGAAACAGGCCGGACCACCTTGCGCACGGCATCTCAGATCTCAGAGTTGCAAGGATTTCTCAGGCGAGACGGGCCGGACCACCTCGCGCAGGGCATCTCAGAGCTCAGAAGTTCGAGGATGTCTCAGGCAAAACGGGCCGGACCACCTCGCGCGCGGCATCGGGGAGATCAGAGTTTCGAGGATGTCTCAGGCGAAACGGGCCGGACCACCTCGCGCGCGGCATCTTGGAGCTCAGAGTTGCGAGGATGTCTCAGGCGAAACGGCCCGGACCACCTCTCGCGCGGCATCTGGGAGCTCAGAGTTTCGAGGATGTCTCAAGCGAAACGGCCCGGACCACCTCTCGCGCGGCCTCTCAGAGCTCAGATTTAGGAGGATGTCTCAGGCGAAACGCTCAATCCCGGACAACTCAGAAACGAGAGTTGTGAGGATGTCTCAGGCGAAACGGGCCGGACCACCACATTTGTTTGAGGATGTCTCTGCTTAGCTTTCCCTCGGCCGGAATTAGCTTCTATCACAACAGCACCCCGTTCAGCAAGCTGTTTGGGGAAAAACAGATTGTTTTATAACGTACTCCTGGGCCCTCTTGGGGGCCTCTCGGAACCCCCTTGGGGGCCTCTGGGAGCCCTCTAGGGGCCCTCTTGGACCCTTCCCAGAAGGTTCGGGGGGGGCTCAAAGGCGCCCCAAGACGGGCCCAACAGGGCACCAGGCCAGCTTATAAAAACACTTTGTTTTATAACGTACTCCTGGGCCCTCTTCGGTGCCTCTTGGAGCCCCCCTGGGGGGGCCCTATTGGACCCTTCCCAGGGCCCTCGGAGGGGCCCACAGGCGCCCCAACACGGGCCCAAGTGAACCCCAGGACAGCTTATAAAAACAGCTTGTTTTATAACGTACTCCTGGGTTCTCTTCGGGTACTCTTGGAGCCCCCTCTGGGGGCCTCTGGGAGCCCTCTAGGGGCCCTCTTGGACCCTTCCCAGGGCCCTCGGAGGGGCCCAGAGGCGGCCCAAGACGGGCCCAAGAGGGCCCCAGGACAGCGTATAAAAACAGTTTGTTTTATAACATACTCCTGAGCCCTCTTGGGGGCCTGTTGGAGCCCCCTTGGGGGCCTCTGGGAGCCCTCTAGGGGCCCTCTTGGACCTTCCCAGAGACCTCGGAGGGGCCCAAAGACGGGTCCCCAGATCCCTCCCGGGGTCCAAACGCACCAGTTGTCCGTCGCCGTCACCGCCGCCGTCGTCGTCGTCGTCGTCGTCGTCGTCGTCGTCGTCGTCGTCGTCGTCGTTGTCGTCGACGCCGTCGCCGTCGTCGTCGTCGTCGTCGTCGTCGTCGTCGTCCTGGTCGTCGTCGTCGTCGTCGTGGTCGTCGTCGTGGTCGTCGTAGTGGTCGTCGTCGTCGTGTTTTTTTTTTCAGGCCGTAAGGATGCTTACGGCCGGGAAAAACGCGCTCATCATTATCTCCCTCGTAGTCGCCGTCGTCGTCTTGATCGTCGTCGTCGTCGTCGTCGTCGTCGTCGTCTTGATCGTCGTCGTCGTCGTCGTCGTCGTCGTCGCCACTGCCGCCGCCGCCGCCGTCGGGCTTATAAAAACAGCCTGTTTTATAACGTACTCCTGGACCCTTTCGGGGGCCTCTTGGAGCCCTCTTGGGGGCCTCTGGGAGCCCTGTAGGGGCCCTCTTGGACTCTCCCCAGGGCGTTCGGGGGGCTCAAAGGCGCTCCAAGAAGGGCCCAAGAGGGCACCAGGCCAGCTTATAAAAAACAGCTTGTTTTATAATGTACTCCTGGGCCCTCTTCGGGGCCTCTTGGAGCCACCTTGGGGGCCTCTGGGAGCCCTCTAGGGGCCCTCTTGCACCCTTCCCAGGGCCCTCGGAGGGGCCCAGAGGCACCCCAAGACGGGCCCAAGAGGCGCCCCGCGAGGTGCCAGAGGGTACTGTTTCGCCCAAGATGGCGCAAGATTCCTCAAGATGGCCCCGAAGACGCTCCAACAGGGCCCAGAACCGCCCCGAGACGGCTCCAGGAGTCCAAAAAGATTCCCAAGGAGGCTCAAGAAGCCAAAAACTTTCAAACACCCATAGAAAATCAATGTTATTTGCGTTCTCGCCCGCTCGCTTCCGATAGCCCTCCTCCACCTCCTCCTCCTCCTCCTCCTCCTCCTCCTCCTCCTCCTCCTCCTCTCGTTCCGCTCCTCCGCCTCCTCCCCCTCCTCCACGCCCTTCGCCGCTTGGGTTCTGTTGCGGCAACTGCAACCACCCCAGGTGCAACTGAGACTGCCCCAGAGGCGCAGGGGGGACGGGGGGCGGGCGGAGCAACTGAGATGGGCGGGCGGAGCAACTGGGCCAACAACTGGCTCAGTTGCTCCGCCGCTCCTCCGCTTGGTGTCAGTTGCTCCGCCGCTTGGTTTCAGTTGCTCCGCGGCCTCGGTCCAGTTGCTCCGCCGAGGTAAGCCGCGCCCCAATAGGGCACCAAGAAATGCCCGGGGGGCCTCAGAAGGCTCCGAGAGGCCCCCGAGACGCCCCCAAGAGGCCCCCCAAACCCCAAACCCCCATGACGCCCCCAGAGGCCCCCCAGAGGCACACGAGACGCCCCAAGAGGCCTCGGCGAGAAAGCCCAAATCACGGATGCCACCTCGGTCGCGGCCACATGTGGGCCTCCTGGGGCGGACCCAAGTGTGCGACAGTCCTTCTGTTGATCGATCTCCTCCAAGATGGCCCCAATACGGGCCCCCACATGGACCCCGAGGCCTCCAAGGGCGCCCCAAGACGGCCCCAAGAGGTGCCCAGGAGAACCCAAAAGGTCCCCAGGAGGCCCCCAAGATGCCCGCACGAAGCCCCCAGGAGACCCCCAAGAGGCCCTCAGAGGCCCCTGAGAGGCCCCGAAAAAACGCCCAAAGAGACTCCGACGACAGCGCCAAAAATCACGGATGTCATCGAGGCCACGGCAGCACGTTGGCTTCCAGGCAAGCGCTCCGAGAGCCCCCCCGCCCCCCCCCCAGCAAGGCCCCGAGAGGTGCCCAGGAAGCCCCAAGAGGCCCCCACGATTGCTCCAAGAGGCCCCCAAGAGACTCCCAAGAGGCTCCGAGAGGCCTCCGAAAGGCAACCAAGAAGCCTCAAACGGCCCCCAAGACTACCGACGACCCCCAAGCCACTCCAAACGGACTCCGAGAAACTCTCGAAAGAAACCCACCCTCGTCCACGATCTCACCCGAACGACGGGCGGCGGCGGGGCGGCGCTAGACAATGAACATTAAAACATTAAAGCAAGAAAAATACGCTTCGAACTCCTGACACGAAATCCGAGGCCGCAGAAAGCAGCAGCAAAATGCAGACGGCCCAGCTGGAAGATCAGACACCAATGACCGCGATAACAACAAGACAAGGTGCAAGCTGGGTTTCAAATCCAATCCACAGAGCCAATGAGAGACAACAGGAATGAGCGAGAAGGGCACACGAGGACGAACGCGACAAGACGGAGGAAAAGGAAGGAAGAACTTGATCAGAGAACACACATGCAACATGTTATATGTGAATCGGCGCCACCCCACATTCACACGCAGCACCCCGGCCCCAGCTCCGACACTCGTAGGACACGGGGCGGGGAAGGGCGAGGGGCGGGGGTCCGAAAATGCCACTGCATTCTGCAACGCGCATTTAAAAGTTCCACGCCCATTATCTCACCCAAGCGAAGGGCGGCAGAGGGGTGGGGCCAGAGAACATGCCCCGAACTCCTGATCCGAGACCCGAGGCCGCCGAGAAAGGCAGCAACATGACGGCCCAACTGGAAGATCCGACGTGAGTTTCCGCGACAACAGCAAGACAGGGTGCCAGCTCGGCTTCGAATCCGCAACGCCGCCAACCCAGCGACAGCGCCTGGCGGGGACGGGCACGGGCATGGGCGGGCGGGCCAACTGACCGCACCGGCCAAATCGAACAACTGATGAGACACATTCTGCAGCAGGGCTGAACCTAAAACGGTGTTTTTGGTTTTCGTTTTGTGGTCGTTTTCCCTCGCTTCTGTCTCGAATCAGCCCTTCCCGCAAGACGAAGTCGAAACGAAAACGGCCCATGAAATCACCAAAAACACCGTTTGGGTCCAGCCCTATTCGACAGCAATGGCCGGAATCGCTCACGCGCACTTGCCGGGCGCTCGACGTTCTGGCTCCACGGGAGCGGGTCGCGGCGCGGCAGCTCTGGGTGCATCGCCGCACTCGCCTCCACCAGGGCGCGTGCACTCATGCACCGCAAGACGCTTCTCTCTGGCGCCCAACGCCCTCAGCGCGGGATGGCCCACGCCACGCCGCCCAGCAGCCCTCCCGACAGTCCGCCGCGTCGCGACTCGGCCCTGAGTGGCCGGCCGCATGTGGCGGAAAAGCTGGCGCGCGCACATCTGCGCGCGCATGCTCGACCGCCCTCCGATGGCTGCGCGCCGAGCAGTCGAACAACCTGTCGGCGGGATTGCGATCGCCCTGTAGGCGGAGCACCATCTGCGCCACCCTAGGGCGGTCGGTCGGCACAAACTCCCACGCGCCCGTCTCGGTGCGCTCGCCTCTCTCGGCGGCCCCATGTCGCAGGGCCACGAAGGGGCCCCCTTTCTCCGTCATCGCGCACATCCCATCGCGGCCCTGAGCGCGACGAGATCCGCAGAGCGCAGGGCGGAGTCCACGGCGAGCTCCAATGCGTCGGCGGCATCGACGTTCCGGCCAGCCTCATCATGGCATCGCCGAGCAGTGCCCACGGTCCACGGTCACCTGCCACAAGAATCTCATGACAGGCTCGTAGGGCACGGCTCGACCGAGGCAGCCCAATCGACAAATCTGGCCAGACATGCGCCAGCCCGCGAACCACGAAGTCGCCCCTGCGCGGCAACACCTCCTCCTCCACCAACCCGCCCAAGTAGACCAAGACCAAGCTGTCGATCTCGTCGCGGGACGTCATCGGCAGGTCGCGGTCCGCCGCGAAGTGCGGAAAGCGCCCCACGTTCGGGGCGCAGCACGCCAGCGCCATCTTCTTGGGGACCGGGAAGAGCAGGAGCGCCAGACCAGCCACCTCTGGGTCGCGACGCCGTGGGCCCACCGATGCACTCCCATCGGCCTCGTTCCTCCTGCGAGCGGCGCCCATCCTGCGACGCCAGCGCGCCCGGCCGCGGCCGATGCCACCGCCCGAGCAGGCGCAGCTGAACAGCGCCAGATTCCCGGGCACAGTCCGTCGAGCAACACGTCCGTCGCCCTGACAATTTGTCGCATGCTGGCGAGAGGCGCTTCGACGATCCCGCCCACGAGGGCAGCCCCGACCAACTCTCCCGCCCTGGCGAGAGGCGCTCCGGCGACCTCGCCTCGGCCCGCGGCCTCCGGGGAAGAGGCAGGCAGCGCGTTCGCGGACGAGATGGCCCTCGTCCGTCTCGCAACGGTGTCGCAAACCAGCGGGTCCACCGCCCTCTCCGCCAGCTCCGCTTCTCGACGCCCTCCCCCATCCAGCATCGCGCCCAGGGGTGGAGAAGAGTGAGGGACGGGAGGGCGAAAAAACATTGTTTCTACCGCAAACGGAAAAGACTCCGAAGGGCATCCATGAGGCCCCTGGCCTTTCTACTCGCCGTCCTCCTCCTCCTCCTCCTCCTCCTCCTCCTCCTCCTCCTCCTCCTCCTCCTTGTCCTCCTCCTCATCATCATCATCAGCATCATCACCATAATCAGCATCATCAGCATCATCAGCATCATCAGCATCACCATCATCATCATCATCATCATCATCATCATCATCAGCATCATCATCATCAGCATCAGCATCATCATCATCATCATCATCATCATCATCATCATCATCAGCAGCATCATCGCCATCATCATCATCATCATCATCATCATCATCATTATCATCATCATCATCATCATCATCAACATCATCATCATCATCATCATCATCATCATCATCATCATCATCATCATCATCATCATCATCATCATCATCATCATCATCATCATCATCACCATTATCGGCATCATCATCAGCAGCAGTAGCATCATCACCAGCATCATAAACATCATCATCAGCAGCAGCAGCAGCTACATCCTCATCTTCCTCCTCCTCTTCCTCCTACTCCTCCTCCTCCTCCTCCGACTCTTCCTCCATCCTCCTCCTTCTTGGGTTACGAGGCCTTACCCAGCCCTTTATTCCACTGCATTCTCCTCCACATCCCTGATTCGGGCAACCCGCCGGGGCATCGTTTCTGCATGAGCTGGTGGGCTTACGCAAAGCATCTAGAAGAAGATTGGAGATCAGCAGCAGCTGCAGCACCAGCAGCAGCAGCAGGATCGCATGGGGAAGGAAGAACCCCAGCAAAACAGCGGCGCCAGCACGAGGAGGCAGAGAACGATGGAAACGAAGACGAGCCCGAGGCGGGTCGGACGGTCTTAAGGCGAGCCGAAGGACGGGATTCAAAACCAATGAACCCCACCCACAAAAAAACAAATCCATGTGAGGGCTTCAGATCTTGCGCCATCAAATTGAACTTTGTTCGTAAGCAGTCCATCGGCCTGGATCCCCGAAAAAATGGCAACCATTGAAACGAAACACTTTTCGCAAACATCCACAAGATACGGTGGTGGCCCTGTAGCTCGTGCGTGTGACGTTGGCATCAAGAGCCGGAAGCAGAGGCAGCGGTGCGAATGCAGATGAAAGCGTTGCGCGTGCGTCCCCTTCATGATGCGACAAGTCTTTCGGGCAACCTGGCAACACACAGCAGCAGTCAAGGAACCACAGCACCGTACGTGACAACTCGTGGCAGAATACCCCGAAATCCTAGAACGCCGCAGCGGAGAGATCAGCGGAGGAGGAGGACGAGGAACGAGAGGGGGGGGAAACACTGTACTGCATCCGACCTCGGCGCTCGACGTCCACTCGTGAGTTTATGTATCCCTTGGCCACCCCAGCCGCACATTTCAACCCACCATGGCACGATGAAATGAGACCAGCCCTGCAGCCAGAAGCGCTCTGCGCCAGCACCGTGCGAAGTAGGACGCGAAGAGAAACATGACGAAGATCGGGCGAGGAGGTGGGGGGGAGAGGGCGGAGCAGCACTTTACACCTGTCAGCGCGGGAGGTTGTTGCCGAGGCCCACTGCCAGCTGCAAGCTGTGGGCACTCTTCCCATGGTGCCTTGTCCGGCATGGGCCCAAGGCGCGTGCGGCAGCGTAAAAAACGGAACAACTCTGCATCAGAGTGCGGAACCCACCCAGACTCCCATGCCACACTGCCTTCATAGCGTCCCTGCCCCAACTGTGGGGGCAGGGAGGGCCGGATCTGGAAATGAAAAAGGAAAAAAGCTAAAGTAGCCGTACCAGTCAGCCTCGCCCTCACGAGGAATTGCACCAACAAGGGGAGACGGAAGAAGTGTCTCACCTCCGCTTCCCCAGAGATCAACTTGAATAAGCATCGCCAAAAACCTGCCCAGCTAATCCCAGCCCCACCTCCAAGGAGAGCGGCACTGGCACGACCCAAAGCACACCTGCCCCGAGGACGCGTGATGAGGGATACAACCGTTGGCGATCCACATGCCATTCTATGCAACTCCATTGGGTGAGACAGGTGCGTGTGTGCGTGCACAACAAAGGGCGGACTACTGTCGGGCTACGGCGGACAGCAGTCGACACTGTGAAGGCAGCCGGGCCAGCTCCCCAAACATACGGCTGGAAGCCCAAGCCAGAAATTCGGTGCACGAGGGCTCGCTTCCAAAAACACGTCTGTATGCGCCCCTCTGGCCAGCAAGGATTTCATGCAGAGGAGAGGAAAGGCAACGACAGCGACGACGATGACGACGAGGAAGGAGGCACACCTTGCTGGCCAGACAAGCTGGAAGTTTGCCCATAGAGGGCCAGATGGCATGGGTGGACAGGCAAAAATATCTCAACCAAAAACGAAGAATGCGAAGCCCCCTGTAGCCGCGAGCCTCGCAACCCTGACAGCCCGTGCAGACCCCCACAGGCACGGCCCGCATGGCGCTGGTGGCCGCGGGGCTGTGAAATCGTTTGCCGCTGTCAATCGTTTGCCGCTGTCAACCGTTTCCGGCTGCACATGTTGATCGCGTGTTTCGTGGGACCTCCTACTGTCCCCGTGCCGAAACAGAGGAGCCAGGCGTCATGCGGCCGGCATCACTGCAACATATTGCCAGCAAGTAGTTCGGTGAAGCACTTCAGAAGAGACAAATGAGAAGATGAGCCACGGCGGCCGGCATGGGGGGCAGTTCGAGCCCGCACGGAGGCCAACCGCGAATTTCCGTGCAAGACAGAGCGAAGCGCCCGGCAAGTACACTCGCCTGGACGCCGGCGCCACCCGCGCAGAAGCGACAGGCCCGCGGGCAGATGGCGCGCGCAATCCAGAGAACCACACTCCTTTTGCGCCACGCCCCCCAGGGAAAACAAAAAAACTCATGCAAGACATCATGCACGCTACAGCGGGACAGAATCGGCAGCGACGGCTCCCGAGGACGAGGGAAGGGAGGACGACGCGAACGGCCACAGAGAAGGAAGGAAGAGGGAAAAGAGGGGCGTCGCCATTGACGAGCGCATCGGCGGCATCACGGGCCCTCCGGCCAGCCAGACCAGACACCGCAACGCCTCAAACACATTCACACCTTACTGGCTGAAATCAGAGGCCGCTGCTTGGACGCCTCCTGCGAGGGTCAAACCACTCAAATTCATCCCTGTGAGGGTCCCACCCCCCAGAAAAACAACAAAAGAAGCAATAATGTTGCAACTTAGTCGGTGGGCGGCTCATCGACCTGGGGCACAGAAAAAGCAGGAAACAAGGGAAACAAAACAGCAACAAAAACAACTCATCCCTGCGAGAGCCTGAAAGTAGAAGAATGAACAATGTTGCAACTTAGTCGGTGTGCAACTTCGTAATTGTGAGGGCTCATCCTTAGTGGGCCGGGTTTGGGTTTTCAATGGTCTCCCAATGTGTCTGGACCAGAGGCCGACGAGCCGCACGCACTTGCTAAACGATTGGCTACTGCTGTTTTCGGGGGGGGCCCGACATTGATGAGTTCGCTTTCCCTGGATTCCCCAAACAGTGACTACACTTAGGCCAAACAGTGACTACACTTAGGCTATCTTACTTCGCTTCTGAGGTGTTTTTTCACCATCAGCGCAACGAAGAATGTGAACTCCACTCTCGAGCACTGCAAACCACGACAGCACGGCTGCGCCACAGCGTGAGATGGAGGGGGGCGACCGACCGTCGTCGAATCGCACGCGTCCGCAGGCATTACTCCCTGACTGAGCCTTGAAACCAAAAGGCAAGACGGGCACAGTACAGTGGAGGCCAGTCCACAAGACACCTTCCACAAGAAACCCAACCCTGGAACCCCGGGACGTCTGTTGATTTGTGGCGAGGGAACGTCGCGCTCTCCATCGCAGAACCATCGAAACCCAGGAAATCCAGGGCACCCTGGAGGCAAGCAGGATGTTACACAATGTTTCTTGGCATCGGTCTCCACTGCACTTCGCTTCTAAGGCATCTGAGCTCCAGCGTCGGTCCGCCTGGCCTGAGGCCGCCCGTCGCCGCCCACCGCCGCCGTTCGCCTGGGCCCCCAATGCCGGTCCGGCCAGCTTGTGGCACCCCGTCGCCGCCCGCCGCCGCCGCTCGTCTGGGCCCCCGTGTCGGTCCTGCCGGCTTGTGTTGAGGGGCCACGATCGGGGGGGACCGGCACAGGGAGGGGTGAATCGACCTGGAATCGACGATGCATCGCCGCTGATGCGGCGTTCGGCCAACTGGCAGAGGCGCAGCGCCCAGCTTCAGCCCATCGGCAGCACTGTCAGGATCGGCGTGAGCGAAGCCGCAGCCGCGGGTCGCACTCCGCCCACCAGCGGCCGCCCACCGTGGGGCTATCGGGCCCCTACCGCAGATCAGTGGGCGATGGGGGGCCGATGCCTCCCCCCTTTTGCCCCCCATCGTTGCCTCCGACATGGCCGCCGGTCGCCGCCCGTCGCCACCCGTCGCCGCCGTCCGTCGCCGCCACTTGCGCTGCGCTGCTTTGCATCAACTTGCTTCGCATTGCCTTGCACCGCGTTGCATTGCTCTGCATCGCACTGCATCGCATTGCTCCGCATCGCTTTGCATGGCGTTGCATGACGTTGCATGGCGTTGCGTCGCTTTGAATTGCTCTGCGCTGCTTGGCGTCGCATTACATCGCGTTGCATTGCTACGCAACGCTTTCCGTTCCATTGCATCGCTCTTCATTGCTTTGCATTGCGTTACAATGTGTTGCTTGGCTTTGCATTGTTTTGCAGTGTTACGCATTGCTTCACATTGCTTTGCAACAGATAGGTTCCACCACATGGATTGCACGACCTAGATTGCACCACACTGATGGCACCACCTAGATTGCACCTCATAGGTTGCAAGATACCACTGTTTGGGGCCACTCTGGCTAACATGTGCTTGATTTGTTGGAAATGGTTCTGGAGTCGCTGCCTCCGACTGCCACTCTCTCTCTCTCTCTCTCTCTCTGTCTCTCTCTCTCTCTCTCTCTC